TTTTTTTTTATATATATATATATAATATTTATATATATATATATATATATATATATATATATAAAAAAAAATATAATTCATACATACACATATATATATATATATATATATATATATATATATATATATATATATATATATATATATATATATATATATATATATATATATATATATATATATATATATATATATATATATATATATATATATATTACTATCAATTTTACTTTAAAATGCCAACATTTGATCTGATTGTGCATTAAAGCCATTGTACAAGGACATTTGTTCTACATCTACCTCAAAGTGTATTTTCAGCCATTTAAATAAATGAATAAATGTAATTAATAGCTATAAATTAATACATTAAAACAAAAGTAGGAATGTTAAATTGACTCAACTGATCAACGTTACATTAACTTTGTGTATTTAAAGGGACAGTTCACCCAAAAATTCAAAAGTGGTTGCAAACCACAAAAGATGTTCTGAAAAACCAGCAACCATTGACTTCAATAGTCGTAAAAACAAATACTATAGAGGTCAAAGGTTTCCAACATTCTTTAAAACGTCTTCGTTTGTGTTTGACAAAGAAACGAAAGTGATAATGGTTTAAAAGAAGTAAACCGTTACAGGATTTTGGGTGAACTATCCCTTTAACTGAAGCACACCGAAATAAACATTGTTACTTAAATGCAACTGAACCTGTTGACGTACAAAGTTAATCAAAGCCAACACATTTTTGCATCCACACCGGACCCCGATCCACTTATTATCCCGCTTTAAATGACTGGCCAGGTGGTCTGAGATGCCTCCCCCCCCCCTCCTGTGTCCATCAACAAAACAAAAAGCCTGTGATTGGTCCTCCTCCTCCTCCAGTGCGACGGGTGTTTTAGGGTTTGAATCAGTGGGCAGCTGGGAGAGCTGAAAACAGCTTCACTCTCAAACAATATAGCCATAAAAGGCAGTAAAACAATCCCGGCGTGCAGGAGGGGGAAGGGAGGAAAAGCGAAGGGGTGACTACTCATGCGAATGAAGAGTCTTTTCTGTCGGGAAAGGTCTTTGCCATTATTTATGAAGACCTGCACTGGGACCCACTCCAACCAGCACAGACAATATTTCTCAAACAACAAACAAGCCTGTGAGAGACTGAGCAATATGGCAGAAAATATGGGGAAAAGTTAGGTCATTCATAAAAATGAAGCAATTTTTCTTCTCAAAAGTTATATTTACTATAACCATATATATTCCCAAAATGGTATCAAATATTGATAATTTACAAGCTATTGTATAGATATATATTTATATCTATATAGATGTTATTGGGTATATATATATATATATATTTTATATATATATATATATATATATATATATATATATATATATATATATATGTATTTATGTATATATA